ATGATGACACCAAGAAGAAGAAGGATCGTGAGGAAGCTGCAAGATCTGAACGAGATGAGAAGGCGTTGAATATAATCTTCATGAGCGTCGGTGACCATGTCCTTAGGAAGCTTGACAAATGCAACACGGCACTTGAAGCTTGGGAACTCCTGGACAAGCTGTACATGGCAAAGACTCTGCCAAACAGAGTTCACGCACAGCTCAAGGTCTACGCATTTAGGATGCAAGAATCAAAGACAATAGACCAGAACGTTGATGACTTCCTCAAGCTCGTTGCAAACTTGAACAACCTCAACATAGAGATCCCCGAGGAGGTCCAAGCTATACTGCTACTCAACGCATTGCCTAGCAGGTATGACTCTCTCAAAGAAACTTTGAAATATAGTAGAGAGGCTATTAGTGTGGATGATATTACTAGTGCTGCTAGATCTAAGGAAATGGAACATAAGGAATCATCCACTGCTAAGTTGAATGGGGAAGGAAACTATGTTAGAGGTAGGTCGGAAAGTAGGAATAGACATGTTTTTGCAGGTAAAAACAATCACAGGTCAAGGTCCAAGAGCAAAGAAGGAAAACGTCTATGCTGGTCTTGTGGCAAGGAAGGACATTTTAAAAGACAATGTCACAAATGGCTGGAAAGGAACAAAGATCAGAAACACGGTAAAGATGATGGTGAAGCATCTCTAGCAAAAGATGATGCAAGAGATCTGGTAGGGTTACTCGTAGCTGAGGCAAATGCTTTGGAAGCGGACTGTGATGAATGGGTCCTTGACACGGGCTGTTCCTTTCACATGACCCCTCGAAGAGATGTGTTTGTAAACCTGCAAGAGACATCACAAGGAAGGGTTAGAATGGCCAATAATACTGTCTCTGATATTTAGGGTGTTGGGGCAGTTAGGTTTCAGAACAGTGATGGTACAACGTTTCTCCTAAACGATGTGAGATATATGCCAGACATATCCCGGAACTTGATCTCAATGGGTACTCTTGAAAGCAAAGGATGCGAGTTTAAGGCTGCTAACGGAGTTCTGAAGGTCATCAAGGGTTGCACAGTGCTGTTGAAGGGAATGAGAAGACAAGCGTTATACATCCTCCAAGCTAAAGCCAAAACGAGCTCATCATACTCAGGGGAATCAAGCTCAGCGACAACTGCAGACACTGAGATTGATGACACCAGCCTATGGCACAGCAGGCTTGGACATCTTGGTCAAAAGGGTATGGATATTCTGAACAAGAAGGGACAGTTCGGGAAAAGCAAAGTCAAGGAGCTGAAGTTTTGTGAAGCATGTGTGATTGGCAAGACACACAAGGTTAGCTTCAGCAATCCCAATAATGTGACAAAAGATAAGATGGACTACTTACATTCTGACCTCTGGGGATCTTCGAATGTGCCCCTAAGTCTCAGCAAGAGTCAATATTTTATCTCGTTTACGGATGATTATACGAGAAAGGTTTGGCTCTACTTCCTGAAGTACAAAGATGAAGCCTTCAGAAGTTTTGTGACTTGGAAGAAAATGGTTGAAACTCAGAGTGAGAGGAAGGTAAAGCGGTTAAGAACTGACAACGGCTTGGAGTTTTGCAATCAACAGTTTGATGGCTTCTGCAAGGAGAATGGAATTGTAAGACATCGAACATGCACGTACACGCCACAGCAAAATGGTATCGCAGAGAGACTCAACAGGACAATAATGAATAAAGTGAGAAGCATGTTGAGTGAAAGTGGACTGGAATTAAAGTTTTGGGCAGAAGCTGCTGCCACGGCAGTATACTTGATCAATAGATCACCGTCATCTGCCTTAGAGTTTAGAATACCAGAAGAAATGTGGACTGCTCATACTCAAGACCTTAGCAATCTCAAGCGCTTCGGATGTCTTGCGTATGTACACTCTACTGAAGGGAAATTGTTACCTCGTGCTAAGAAGGGCATCTTTATAGGATACCCTGAAGGTATCAAAGGCTTCAAGGTCTGGTTACTTGAAGACAAAAAGGTGGTTATAAGTCGAAATGTGGTCTTTAGGGAAGAACAAGTCTATAAAGATTTGAATCATGAAGACCGAGTAGGAGAAAACTCTATAACCACATCTACAGTTGTTGATCTAAGACCACTGGTGGCTGATAAGGAAATGGTTAGTCCAGTCCAAGAAGAAGAGACTACTATTGAAGAGCCTGAGGAACAGGAGAATTTAGAAGACTATCAGCTTGCAAGGGATAGGGTCAGAAGAACTATAAAACAGCCGGCAAGACTGTTGGATTACGAATGTGATGAGACAGATGGAGAAGATCAGTTTGCGGGTTTTGTATGTCTCATGTCAGAAGATACTCTAACTGAACCAGGCTCATATCAAGAAGCTATGACAGATCCGGATAGTGATAAGTGGATTGCGGCAGCTCAAGATGAAATGACCTCACTTGAAGCAAATGAAACTTGGGAGCTTATTGATAGACCTAAGAATCAGAAGACTATCGGGTGTAGATGGCTATTCAAGAGGAAAGCAGGTATTTCTGGTGTTGAGCCTCCGAGGTTTAAGGCGAGATTAGTTGCCAAGGGATACTCACAGAAAGAAGGGATAGACTACCAGGAGATTTTTGCTCCTGTAGTCAAACATGTGTCTATAAGATTCCTGCTATCAGCTGTGACACACTTCAATATGGAACTGCAACAGATGGACGTGAAAACTGCGTTCCTTCACGGGAACTTGGAGGAATTTGTAGTGATGGAACAACCAGAAGGATTCAAGGATAAGAGGTATCCAAACAGAGTCTGTAGGCTGAAGAGATCTCTGTATGGTTTGAAGCAGAGTCCTAGACAATGGAACAAGCGTTTCGATGAGTTTGTTAGATCAAAAGGGTACATCAGAAGTGAGTACGATTCTTGTGTGTACTTCAAGAAAGCAACGCAGGGAGAGTATGTGTATATGCTCCTCTACGTTGATGATATTTTGATCGCGTCCACTAATACTGGTGAAGTTCAGAAGTTAAAAACAGTGCTTAATACAGAGTTCGATATGAAGGATTTGGGTAACGCCAAAAAGATTCTAGGTATGGAAATTGCTCGAGATAGAGATAGTGGTGAGTTAAGTATTTCTCAAGAAGACTACTTGTGGAAAGTACTGGGAAAGTTCAACATGGATCAGTGTAAGGCTGTGGCTACACCTTTGGGAGTTCATTTTGTGCTTAAGTCAGCTACAGACAAGGAGTTGCAGGAGCAGGAGGAGCAAATGAAAAAGGTTCCGTACCAGAATGCTGTTGGGAGTGTTATGTACTCAATGGTTGGTACGCGTCCTGATCTTGCTCATGTGGTTGGAGTAATAAGTCGGTTTATGTCAAAGCCAATCAAGGAGCATTGGCAAGCTGTGAAGTGGGTTATGAGATATATCAAAGGGTCTGTGGATACGTGTCTTCGGTTTAAGAAGAAGGGTGAGTTTGTTGTAAGAGGCTACTGTGACTTAGACTATGGAGGAGACTTAGATCATGCAAAGTCTACTACAGGGATGGTGTTTACAGCAGGAGGTAATCATGTAAGTTGGCGATCATCGTTACAGAAAGTGGTAGCTCTTTCAACCACCGAGGCAGAATATATAGCATTATCAGAAGCAGTTAAAGAAGGAGTTTGGCTGAAAAGATTTGCAGAGGAGCTTGGTTTTCCACAGGATACAGTAGAGATATTTTGTGATAGTCAAAGTGCTATTGCTTTGTCCAAGAATGCTGTGTACCATGAGAGGACTAAGCACATGGCTACTAAGTATCACTTTATCAGGGATTTGATCAAAGTTGGTGAAGTGCAAGTTTTGAAGATAGCAACTGCAAATAATCCCGCAGACATTTTTACTAAGGTTTTACCAGTGTACAAGATGAAGGAAGCATTGAAGATGCTTCGAGTTACTAAAGATTGAGAGTGAGAGTTGGTAACCCGGTAGAGGGTTACAGGAGGAGCTCGGTGAAGAGTTTCAGGTCATCGTTGGTTCAGACGTTGAGAAGGTCAGGTAAATGATTCTTCTGGTTAGGTTGAAAGTTGCATTAAGTTTATGATGGAGGTAGGAAGACTTGCCTAAAGAGGAGATTTGTTGGTATAGACAAGTCTTATAATTGGTTAGGTTCATTCGATTAGATTAGGACTTGGTTTAGTCTTGGTTAAGTATGTAATTGATTTAAACCGGATCTTTCTCTAGGGTATTTACACGCGTGTGGTTTGTGCACGTGTGACGGTTTAATGGTCTCGTATATAAGGGATGATTAACCGTTTTAGTTAGTTACGAGCTTACAACTGATTTAGAAGTTTGTTAGATCAGTTTAAGCTGAGAGTAGCTAAGAGAAAGATTCCGGTGAAGAAACCAGTTGTAAAGACGGTGACTCGGCTTGTGAGTTCACTCGTTGAAGGTATAGTCATTGCCGGTTCAATCCCGGCTCCGGTGAGCTATAGCGGCCACACCTAGTTAACGGTGTGGTGCGGTGAACACCAGGTAAACACTTGCTCGTGTGCGCCTTTGTTTCTTCAGTAATCAACCGCATAGAAGAGGTGTTATCTTCACATTTGTGTTCCAGGTTATGGAAATATATTCTTTACCCATCAAAAAAATATCGATTGTAACTTTTACTCTATATTTGTGTCTGAGTTCTATTTTTCAATAATCACTTTGTATTTTTAAAGTAACTGCTTTTATTAGAGACAAATATAATGTGGATGGTTTAATAAAATTAATATATATATATATATATCAGATTTTTAAAAATAAGACATAATATTTATCAATTGGCCATATTCTAATTTAACAGAATAGATCGGGGGAAAATTTTAACGATGTTTTTAGTGAAAAAAAATTGTTAGAACAAAGAAGAACGTGGGGATAAGTACACCGTCTAATAAGAAGAAGATCGGGCCAACAACGGGTCCAGATTTAGACACGAAAGCAGGTCCCACCACATTACGCGATGACATTGACCTGTATATTTATTTAGCAAAACAAACCCTTCATGTTTACAATCAATTACACAATACCCCTTTCTTTCCTAGATGATCAGTCAGCCACGAGATCGAACACGATCGCTCTCTTATTAAAAAAAAAAAACAATTTTCCAATTTCTCTCCAAGTCCCCTCTCTCTGTCTTCTTTTCAATCTAGTGATCTACTTCCAAAGAAGTCGCCTCGAGAGGCCCAAAGGTATGTCATCTGGAATCTGAGAAATGATTAGGTGGTTGTGTGATCAAGATTTGATCTTTTGTGGGATCTGGGTAACGATATAATGTGGTTATGATTAGAAAATTAATCTAAAGTCTTCGACTTTGATTCAATCTCGTATCTTTTGATGGATCTCTGTTTCTGATCGTTCGTGTGCGGTTGTTTTGTTCTGTTTCTGATTAGTAAAACTAGATTTAAAGATTTGACCTTTGTTGTTAATGATTAAAGTATTGTTGTTACACAATCATCATGTTCTTGTTTTTGTCTCCTTGATTTTGCAGTAGCTTTTTCTATCCACCATGGCTGGCCAAAACGCTCGTTTGAATGTGGTTCCCACTGTTACTATGCTCGGAGTTATGAAAGCTCGTCTCGTTGGAGCCACAAGAGGACATGCTCTCCTCAAGAAGAAGAGTGATGCTTTAACTGTTCAGTTCAGAGCCCTTCTCAAGAAAATCGTCACGGCTAAGGAATCAATGGGAGATATGATGAAGACATCTTCTTTTGCTCTCACCGAAGTCAAGTACGTTGCTGGCGAGAATGTCAAGCATGTAGTTCTCGAGAACGTTAAAGAAGCTACGCTGAAAGTTCGTTCAAGGCAAGAGAACATCGCTGGTGTGAAGCTTCCCAAGTTTGATCACTTCTCTGAAGGTGAGACCAAGAATGACTTAACCGGTTTAGCTAGAGGTGGGCAACAGGTGCAAGCTTGCCGTGTGGCTTATGTGAAAGCTATTGAGGTTTTGGTTGAGCTTGCTTCTCTCCAGACTTCTTTCTTGACGCTTGATGAAGCAATCAAGACGACTAACCGCAGGGTTAATGCTTTGGAGAATGTGGTGAAGCCCAAGATTGAGAATACGATTAGTTACATCAAGGGAGAGCTTGATGAGCTTGAGAGGGAGGATTTCTTTAGGCTTAAGAAGATTCAGGGATACAAGAGGAGGGAAGTTGAGAGACAAGCAGCTAATGCTAAGGCGTTTGCTGAGGAGATGGTTCTTGAGAAAATCTCTATGCAGAGAGGGATTTCTATTAACGCTGCTCGTAACATTCTTGATGGTGGCGCAGAGAGGGATGCAGACATTATCTTCTGAAGTGTGAGGCTCTCTATTTATTTATCTTTTGTTATTACTCTTTTCGTCAGACTTTATGTTTCTACAAATAAAATGGATTTGTTGTAGATGAAATACTGTATCATCTTTGATTGTGCTTTGCTATAACTTTCCTCAAGAGATTTGTTATTGTTACTCTTCTGTGTAATGATTATTCCCCTGTTTTGAGAGACCAAGCAAATGTAAAACTTTTCTGGTATTGATTCTTGTACATCACATCCACTTTTGATGTGTATGATGATACTTGTTCAGGAGTGCAGGCATGGCGTACCACACTAGGACAGATTCTTTGCTTAACCTATCAACTTATAGGGAATCATTTTAAGTGGAGAAAGAATAACTCGTAGCAAGTACAAAGAATATAAACTGAGCCTGCATTATACAATACAAAAACTTTATAACGCTCCTCTGTAACAAGAAAGGCCATTCATTCAGCTATGAACAACAACGCCAGAAATAGCTATTATCATGTTCCAAATCAATCAGATAGGTATGGTTCGGATACAAGATCATCAGGTTGGCGAGTACCTGCTTTCTCTTCAAGGAACGCTTGGTCCAGGAGTGATTTGGTCAGTTAGACTTTTCTTTCTGATCATATATATTTGATGTTTTAGCCTCCTTTAGTGGTGTTTTAGATGGTTTAGTGTTTCTCTTTCAGATAGTTAATAGACGTTTGCTCGATGATTCTCCATCCACTTACTCACGAACAGCTTCATCAACCGTGTACTTACTCATCATTAGTTCATCATCATATCTGATTTCTTCTTTCTTTTGATTTTGTTTCCAATAGTAACAGTTGTTTTTGGCAGAGATTATGTACCACCATCACATACTCCACATCAGATTCCAATCCGGACCAGCAACAACCAGAGGAGGCAACACCTCGAGGCACTAAGGCAAGCCGTTCACAACCAACATAACAGACCAGAGAGCAATTCAAGATCAGCATCATCACAGCCCAGAGAAGAAGACCATGTTCTGAAACATCTAACGAAACAGACATACAACCCTGTCCCTAAAAGCCAGCTTCTAAGAAACCTGAGCTTATACTACAGAAACAAGAACTCAGGAAGCGAAAACTCAAGAAACACTTATCAAGGTTACTCCGGTGAAGACGACGATGAGAAGAGATGCACGGTGTGTTTAGAAGACTTTGAGCCCAAGGAAACAGTGATGCTCACTCCTTGCAAACATATGTTTCATGAGGAATGTATAGTTCCTTGGTTGAAAAGCAAAGGACAGTGTCCTCTCTGTAGATTCGTCATTCTTAAGCCGACAAGACGAGATTCTTCACCTGGTATTAGCTCAGATCTGGCTGGAGACATGACAGTGAACGATCTCTTCACATTAGAACTAATCTCTGTGATTCGTGCAATGGAAGAAAGTTTCCTTTTCGGTTATCCTCGTCGCATGTAGAATCATAATGGATAGGCAATGTCTTAAAAGAAAACTCAAATGTCTGAAGAACAATGAATAAAAACAAAACTGAGAAAATATGATTCTAGCCAGTGGAAAATAGATTACAGATTAATATTTTTTGAGATATTGTTTTTAGCCAGTAATGTTTTGTGACTTGTTGAGAATGGCTCCTTCGTATTTCACTTGGAACCATTTCATGGCATCATCTTTCGTAACTCTGTGCTGGATATCAAACACGAGCTTTGCATCTTCTGCTACATTATAAACTGCTTTAACAAATTTCCGTAGTACCATACAAAAATATAAAGTCATACATTTGTTAGTTTTCTCTGATTTTTATTGAGAACCAACGCTTGCTTTACTGGGTGAGTTAGGAGAGCGAGCCAAGCTAAAGCTACTAGAGCAGCCACTAAGCTTTGAACCTGACCTACGTCTTCTCACTAATGGAACCAGTGACTGCACCACATCTGCCATCAAAGGTCTGTAATCAGCTTCTTCTTGAACACACATCGCTGCTATTGCTGCAACTTGAACAACCTCTTTCGTCGAATACTGTCCTTCCAGTGTTGGATCCATTATCTCCACTACTTTGTCTCTATCATCCAAATGAGGCAAAGCCTGGAGAACAAAAAAAAAAGTAAAAGAAGAGAGCTTAGAGCCAAGAAATGTTAAAGAAGTTTGAATAGTGAAAAGGAAACGTACCCAAGAGACAAGAACTCCTTCTCCAGCAACTCTATTCATATCAACTGGAACCCTCCCTGTTAGTAACTCTAACAAGACAATGCCATAGCTATATACATCTGATTTTGTAGTCAAGTGGCCAGTTAAAGCATATTCAGGAGCAACATAACCTTGTGTGCCTAGTACACGGGTTGAAACGTGTCCACCAGCTTTATCTGATCCAACTTTAGCCAATCCGAAGTCCGAGACCTTGGCGTGGAAGTTTCTATCAAGCAGAACATTGCTGCTCTTGAAGTCTCGGTGAATCACTGGAGGTGATACTTGTTCATGGAGATACTCCAAGCCTTTTGCAGCTTCCAGAGCTATCCTCATCCGAGTTTCCCAATCTAATCTCAACGGGACAGAACCAGAAGACCCTATATGCAATGACAACAAGACAGCTCTATATCAGTCCTCTCTATTAAAGTAAGTTTGTAAATACTTGAAGAAGGAACTTAACTGTTATTAGGATAGAGGTGTTCCTGCAGACCGCCATTTGCCATGAACTCATACACAAGCAGTTTGTGGCTATTGTCTGAGCAATAACCAATAAGAGCCAATAAGTAGGGTGAACGCAGACGGCTCAGTAACTCAACCTATAACCAGACACAAAATTAATTAATAAACCGTTGAAGTAATTAGTGAGCTAAAAAAAGACTTAAAAGCTCAAATAAAGCAACAACCTCCATTTTGAATTCATCTTCACCTTGCTTTCCTGCATTATCCATAAACTTGATAGCGACTTTTCTCCCGTTGTTAAGCACACCACGATAAACCAACCCAAACCCACCATGACCAACAACATTCGACTTGCTAAACCCACCAGTCGCGGAATGTAGTTGCTTGAAAGTGAAAACATGCATCCCCTTGTCAGTAGCTTCTTCTTGTTCTCGACAATCACCTTTCTCCTCGCACTCAAACTCTATATAGACACAGGTAAAACAAGAAATGCAGGTTAAAGATAAAGACCAGACTCGTTCTGTTTACACGAGGACATGGAACGAAACAGAGAAACTGTTGTCTAAATTGTTGTACTTACTCTTGTTGATTCTGTGACGCTTGGAAACTTTCTTACGGATATAGCAGTAGTAACTAAAGGCGACGAACAAGGAAGTTAAAGCAAGACAAGCAAGAACGACAATGGCTACAAGTGAAGCTCGCTCCTTCCTACGGTACGCTTCATATGTCTCCTCCATTTCACCCCCAAGAACAATAAGATTCCTTTAACTGTTTCCAAAAATGGAAAAAAGATGTGGAAACCCTAGAAGGAGGAGGACGACGAAATTGATACAGAGAGGTGAAATTATTATTTTTTGGGGTTTTGTGCTTGTGAGTGTGTGTGAGTGTCAGCCAGCTTCACTGACTTACTGTACTGCTTTGTTTCGTGGCGCGGAGAATACTTGTCTTCACGGGAACTTTACAAAACTGGTCCCTATACTTTTAAAGTTTCAGTTTTGTACATCTCAGTCACCGACAGACGTCAGTTATATAAACGTGTCTACACGTGACCAAGGCCCAAACTACGATATTATCCGGTCCGGTTATCGCAAACTTAATCGAACCAAAATAAATTCCGGTTCCAGAATTTGATCTCATTGTGATATACGAAGAGAAGGGATTATTTATACTGACAAAAGGTTCCAATCAAAACAGTACTTGTTTTTCTTAACACCATAAAAGATCCCTCCTTGCACAACTCTCTACTAAGCCATTAAACAGCCACGCAGATTATAGATAGTTTCTATAGCATATGAAGTTGAGACAAACTGCGACTAGTTGTTCCTTTGTATACCTTGAAGGAGCTTATTACTTCTTTCCACGGAGTTTAGCTCCAAGTGCCCTCTCCAGCTTAGAAAGTATCTGCTGATTCGGTATTGCTTTCCCTGACTCGTACTCTTGGATCACTTGTGGCTTCTCGTTGATCAACTACAAAACCCATACCATATCAATATCACCCATCATCAATCAATTACAAGAAATACTAGAGACAGAGTGAAGAGAGAAAGCAGTGTACTTGAGCGAGTTGGGATTGGGTCAGCTTCTTCTCTCCTCGGGCATGCATGATGGCTTTCTTCAACTCAGTAGGCACACGTTCATCTGATTCCAATAAAACACACACATAATAAACAAGAAGTCAAACACAACCAACATACAGAAAATGAAAAACACAGCGATTTTGTGGAGAACGTTATATATAAAGCTTTTGGCTCTTGGCATCCACTAGTTGCCATTAAAACTAGTTTCAACCCACTAGAATCGCTGTGATTCAGAATACATAGACTTCAACAATCTCCCTGTTCATACAGAAACGAAGTCAATAATAGGAGATTTAGAAACTCACGAGCCAAGTTCTCAGTGTCATCATCAAGCCTCTTAGTGTTCAAGGAGGTGCTGCTTGAAGCCGCCTTGTTGGTTCCAGCATTGTCTATATACGCAACAACAAAAAAAAAAGATACATCATCAACCTGATTGGATCAATGATTAATCGTAACGGACGATTTGTTTAATCCTGCAATCGTTAATTGAAGTAACAACAAACGAAAACCCTAGCACGAATCACAATCACCCCAATCAAGGATAAGTCACTCATATTGATTCATTCGTCAAATCTAAACCTAATCCATATAAAACTTCTAGCACAGATAGAGCTACGAAGACAACAGATCAGACGTGAAGAAAGAAGAGGAAAGCAAACATTTTCTGACGGATTCGATATCGGCGCCGCTTCTACGAGCGGCGTTGACAGTCTTCTCGTCACGCTTGGCGGCAGCGTTGGGAGTTTTCTTACGGATCACAACGGGCTCCCAATCTTGCGTCATCGGTCCAACTCCTGCCATGGCTGTTTCTCTTGTGATTTTTCTTCTTCAACCGCCCTTTCTAGGTTTTCTTCCTTCGTGTCGGATAAATGATGGAGGTAGACAACAGGATAAAGTAGAGAACAAGCCTTTATCGTTTTGCGTTTTATAACTAAACTATGATGGGGGTAATTTAGTAAATAGCCAATACTGACGGGTATTAGTGGAATTGATTCAAATTAAAAAGCAAGGTTCGAATTGACGTTTCGAAAAGGTAATGGCGAGAAAAGTGAGTCGAAAGTTTTCTAGTGACCTACAAAGCGAAAAAAAAAAGACAAAATATCAAATTCTGATTCCTCCTCCTCCGACTAAACCGGTTTTCCATCATTGTTTTCCTCCGATTCCTTCTTCTTCGTCTTCACTCATCTTCTGCTCGAAAGGTCTGTCTCTCTTCATATTCGATATATAACTTTCTAAGATTCAGTGAGAGCAATAGTATAACTGAACTTAAAATCTATGCACTGTGTGATGGTTTTGAATTGGTTGTGTGATATCATTCACTTTTTCAAGTTCATCAATAGCATTCATTTTGCCTTGCCAGAGAGACTCAGAGCTCTTAATTTGTGATATCTGTTTTTCAGATGTGGTGCGTATTTTCTGTATCATCTTGAATTTGTTTTCTTGATTCAGTGCAGTGATTAAGAATCATTCAAGAAGGTTGTTTTCTTACCATAAGTAACATATAAGAATCTCCAACCCTGATTACAGGCGCTCTACCCAAAGAGAGAGTTGCTCAAGAAGTCATGGTCTTCTTTTTTTTTTTTTTTGTATTTAGCTTCTTATGTTTTTGTCATTTCATGTATCATAGCAAATTTACAGTTCTTATAATGGCGTAAAGTTAGTCTTGTGTGAGCCATTCATATTAAAAAGATGATAGATCCTACTACTCGGTTAGATTATCACTCAATCGATGGAATGCTATGAGCCTATGAACAATTGTTGGTTATAAAGGAGAACGTTAAATAAGAAATGCTTAAAACGTAAAACAGTAGTTTGTTTCCCAGTTGGCTCGACGTGAGCAGTACAAGATATGAAACATCCAAAAATGTAATCAGCGCTACCATAAAACATAAAATTACTCAACTGAAAAAGAAGCAAAAACTTTGAAGCTTTAACCCTCTGATCTTCCATTGCCTTACTTTCTAAGCACACTCTTCTTCCTCTTCGGTTTCAAACCACCACCAGACTCTTCTTTAGTAATCTTTGTCTTCTTCTTCGGCTTTAACTCATCCTTACTCTTCCCCTTGGCCACTTTCTTCTTTGGTTTCTCAGCCTCTACAATCTCACTTATCTCCTTCCTCTTCTTCATCTTCTTATCCTTATCACCACCAGACTCAATACTAAACTCAACATCACCAATCTCATCATCATCAAGCACCTCAGATACATTACTATCCATATACCTAACCTCATGAATCCTACCCTTCTTCTTCTTCCCCTTCACCACATCACTCTTCTCACCACTCTCACTCTCCTCCTTAACAACAACACTCTTCTCACTTCCAAACCCATCAATCTTCAGCTTCAAATCAGGAACACTCTGATAAACAGGCAACGCCAAGCTCTCAGACAACTTCAAATGCAAAGACCTAACATACTTCCACTTACCAGGCAACACCTCAACAACACCATTCAACGTAACCATCACATTCTCAACAACCTCATCCCTCTCCATCCCCAACTTCCCAACTTTCACAACACTACACGTCCCCGTCCTCACAAAAAACATCGCCGAGCCACACGCCTTCTCCACCTGCTCCTTCCAGTTCCTATGCTTCAAATCAACCGCCGCGGGTATCTTCTTACTCGCGAAAAACTTCTTCCCGATCAACCTCGGAAGCAGAGGAATCACTCTCCTATCCGCGAAAAACATCTCGTACGAATCACAAAGCTTCCTCTTCGCCTCGAAGGCCTTGTAATCGCTCTTGAGCTTCGAGAGCTTGAGAATCTTCGTGATCGGAATGTTATCGGATTCGATCTTTTCCCTCGCGTCTTTTTTGGTTAATCCGGATTTAGGTCTGTCGTCGATGATGAGGCAAAGCTCCGGGGAGTCTTCTTGGGTGTTGATGAGTGGGTTAGGGAGGAGGATACGGTGAGGCTTCGTGCGGTTGGTTTGGGGGATTTTTTTTAAAGTGACGATTAGGTAAATGAACTCGTCTTGCTCGAGAAGCTGAGGCTTTTGTGTCTTTGATTTTTCGGTTTTCCATTTGAGGAGGGAGGTTACGGCTTCGTGGACTGTCTTGGGGCTTACTCGTGAGGTTTGTGGAGGTGGGAGGAGTTGGTCGGAGGAGGGTGCGGCGGCGGTGGTGGTCATTTAGAGGTTTGGGGAGGGGAGAGATTAGGGTTTAAGGTGGAAGAGAGATAGAGAGGCTGTGTTGTTTTGGGGTTTATTAGTGACTTGCTTCACTGGGAGTTAATGGGCCTGTCTTATTTGGGCTCTTTAGTTTTTAGAAATTTATGGGCCTGTCTTATTTGGGCTCTTTAGTTTTCGAAATTTATGGGCCTTTCGTATTATTAATTTGTTTATCGAAGGTCTTTTATCAAATTATTAGAAAAAGATCAAAAAAAAAAAAAATTTATGTGGTTCAAATAGAACCGTTAGATGTGTATTTTTTGTAAAATGATTGTAAATATAATTGTAGAACATGAATCATACACAAATAATTATTGAATAGAAAGTTTAATTTATATCAATTTTATAATTTATAACATATAATAAAATAATATATTTTAAAGCAAAGTATTAACAAAAAAATATGACCATTGAATTGATAAAATCAATGACTGCAAAAATAAAAATTAGAAAAAGAGGAATAATTTCAATTTAACCACAAGTTTGATACATTTTTTTCAAATTTATCCTTAAAGAATAATCATTTTTTATAAATACCTTAAAAATAAGATAAAAGATTAAATTAACTTTTTTAAAATCATTTATAAATGCTTAACAATAATTTATACAACATTCATGGAAGTTTATAATCTTAATGCCACCCCTAAATACTATTTCTAAATACTAATCAGCAAACGTTAAATCAAAATATGGAAATACTTTTGATTAATTATATTTTTGAAAAGTTATAAACAACGTAAGGTATTTAAAGCAATTTATCAAAAAGATGAGCGATTATATTGTTAAACTTTATCAAAATGAATATACATATTTGATTCAAACTGCACTGTTCTACTATAAAGTTATTGCCTTTAATTGATCTGTTCTTCAACTGAAATTTGAAACGTTATAACTTTTTAAAAATTGTGTTTCTTTGTTCCCTAAGCAAATTCAAAATTATTTTATGTTTGAAACTACAAAAGTTCAAATTGAAACGTGCACGTATTTATTTAGTCATATAACAATTTCGACTTCATAGGATGCTCTCTTTCACCCACTCCATCGGATGCTAAATATGAACACTATCATGTTACATTTACAATTCTTCAATCTATAAACAAAAGGAAAATAGTTTATAGAGAAAAGATTTTCCTTTTTGGGTGTAGAAAAAAAAGCAATACTTTTAATTTCCCAAAGGAGGGAGCTTTCAAAATCCCCCTTTGTCTTCTCTCTCTCTCTCTTTATCTGACTATCTATCTTTGCAACGGCTATCTCTGTCGTCATTTCAATTCAAACTCTTTACTTAACTTCTCTTGCTGCTTCTAGCTCCCCCTACCTTAGATCTCTAATCTCAAATGCTCAAATCCCTCAATTCCAAATCTGTATTATCTTTCCTGATCTGACCCACTTCACAAATAACAATCCTTCTCTCCTTAATCACATTACCTAAGTAAAAGGCGAAGACTTTAGCATCCTGAAGAGCCCAAAAACACCAGATCTTTCCTCATTCCATAGTGGGATTGTGAGCGAGAGAGAGATAAAGTGGAGAGCTTTGGTCGATCTTCCACAAGGGTTTCTGAAAACTACACTTAATCGATGGATCCATAACTAAAAGGCGAATACTTTAGCATCCTGAGTATCTGAGAGGTAAAAAATAAACTTCATTTTCGCAAAATAAAGCTTGATTCATTCTATCACTTCACAAAGTCTGGTCCTTTTTGTGTCTGTTGTTGTTTTGATGGGATCCAGTGTCTTGTAATTGCATTCCACTGAGATTGATTCAGTTCTTGTTACTTATTTAGGTAAAAATAAAATGGACATAGTTGAGAGGAAACGACCTAGAGGAGCGTTTCTAAATCTGTTTGATTGGCCTGGCAAATCAAGGAAGAAGCTTTTCTCATCCAATATCTCTCAAGTCTCTGGTATGACACTTCATCCTTTTGTGTTCTGTATAAACATTATTCATATATATACAGTAAGACAATCTGAAGTTTCTTATTTTAAACAGAAGAATCTAAGCAAGCAAAAGAGAATGCTCATAACCCCTCTATTACAAGACATTCTGTTGTAAGCCTTTTGCTCTCATTACCATTTTCCTTGTTTCATATTTTGGTCTAGTGAATGACAGGATTTGACTTTGGTTTAATATGTTACCAGATTGAGGTTGATCAGTCTGTAAAGAACTCAGCTTTCAACCAGGGAAGCAACTCTAGCTGTTGTGCATCCTCTGTAACTAGTGATGATGGCAATGTGGTTAGAGGACCGAGTGTGGTAGCGAGGCTCATGGGTTTAGAGTGTGTACCCCCACAAAACGTTATGGAACCAAGGGTTAATCCTAGTCTTGATCCATACTCTCTCAGACCCTCGCACCAGGCAAGCACTTGGGATGCTAATGCTGAGCATCAGAGTGACTTTGATGACGTTTCTTTGAATCATTTTGATTCAAGAACTAGTAAAGGTCCGCATAAGCGGATGATTGAGCGGTTTCAAACTGAAACCTTACCTCCAAGATCTGCTAAACCGATCTCTGTCACGCACAATAAGCTCTTGTCTCCTATAAGGAATCCTGGATTTGTTCCATCTAGAAACCCTGCTTATGTTATGGAAGCTGCTTCAAGAATGATAGAGTCAAGTCCACGGATGATGGCAAGAACAAGGGTGGTTCCATCATCTGATTCTTCTTCTCCTGTTCCATTAAGGATCCGAGATTTGAAGGAGAAACTAGAAGCTGCGCAGAAAGCTTCAACTTCATGCACTCAACAAGTCTCTAATGATAATGCTCGTAGCAGTAAGTACCTTAGGGGAGATCAAAGCGAGAGGAAGAGTACAGCTTTGGTGAAAAACAGTTGTGATGGCTTGAAAGGTGAACTGAAACCACCTTCTTTCTTTGCACAAGCAAAGGGCAGTAGTAACCAGAAACACAACAGCTTAACGACGTCATCAAGTGGAAACAAAAGGACATCTTCAGGACAAAAGGAGAAAGGAGAAGCTAAGAACCGTGCAGTAAAAAGCCAGAATGGTCTCAAAGGATCTTCACTAAGCGCAGGGAAGAATGTGCTTAAGCAGAACCATCAGAAGCAAAACTGCAGAGACAATCAGCAAAGTAGGAAACCAATGAACAAAGTTGTAAACAAGGTTCTTGTGGACAGTGGTTCTTCATCGAAAAGCTCAGGTTCTACTATGACATCAGCTGAAAAGTCTACATCTTTACCTTTACACCGGAGAAAGAGTCAACCTCGTAGCAAAAAGCCACGAAATGGGGTGCAAGAAGCAGGAACCTACGAGGAGAAACGGATCAAAAGAGGTGAGAAGTCGATCAAATGCAACATTTCCATTGATGGTGACTCAAGCACGAGTAAAACTGATCAGAGAAGGGATACGGATGTGATATCTTTCACTTTCTCCTCTTCAATAAAAGGTTTATCTACTCGCTCGCAAGAAACCAAACAAGATGCAGACTCTGCTGTTAAATATAATGTGATAGGCGGTAATTCCTTAAATGCGCTTTTGGAGCAAAAGCTCAGGGAATTGACCTTGAAGATTGAATCCTCTAGCTCTAGCTTGATCCAAGAAGAGTGTTTGACTTCCATTTCAGATGGTAGAGCGAGCAGGACAGTTTTATCTCCATCAAGACATGGTGAGACAACTCAAAACAGTCTTGACAATGTCTTAACAGAGAGTGAATCTGTTTCTGACTGCACTTCATTTTATAACAACCAGGAATCTCAGGTTAGTGTCCTTAAAATGCAGCTTCACTATTCTATTTTATCGAATGCTTTGCCAATCTCTGAAAACACTGTTGTTTTTTTTCCCTTATAGAAGAAGAAGATGACACAAGGAGAAGAACATGAAGTTAGCAGCTTCAGTACTCTTACAGAGGCTGATGGTTTAGCACTCTCCAGCAACAAGAGTTTCTCAGATGGAAGACACTACAGTGAATATGGTATGTTTTTCAATTTATGTCTTGATTTTCTTGGATACATGATGCAAATGTTATGCCTTGGTATTGAATTGGTTAGATTTTGCAGCTGAATACGCTTAGTGTTGTTGTTTCCTTCAGGCATGAAACAGAGTTCATCAGACCAAGAACTCACTTGGGTTACATCAAGCGAGTCCCACGAAACCTTAGATGAAACAGCCGCATCAACACTTGATTGGGAGCTCGAGTACATAACCGAGATCCTCAACTCTAGCCAACTCATGTTACAAAACTTCACCTCAGGAGCAACCACTAGTGAACTAGTATTACCCTCGAGCCTCTTTGATGAAATGGAACGCTCAAGAGGAGCTGTAACATCGACAAATATCGAAAGAAAGGTGCTTTTCGAGTGTGTGAATCAGTGCTTAGCAGTGAAGTTTGAAAGGATGTTAGTTGGAAGCTGCAAAGGAATGATGATGATAATGTTGGAAAATAGAGATTTGATGGCTGAAGAAGTGAACAGAGAAGTGAAAGGGTTGAAGAAGATGAGGGAGATGATGATAGACGAGCTTGTGGATCATGACATGAGCTGCTTGGAAGGGAGATGGGTTGGTTATGAGAGGGAGATGTTCGAGGAAGGCATTGATATAGAAGGGGAGATAGTTTCTAGTTTGGTCGATGATTTAGTGATTGATCTTTTGTCTGTTGGCTTTCTTAAACGGTCGTTGTAGGTTGTGTGTAGAAGGGCTTCTTTTGGTTTTGAAACTGTCTGAATGAATATTTTTTTGTTTTGTAACGATTAACGGCTGAAGAAGAAGTGTCATCTTTCGTTTGAATTAGTTTAAAAAAGAACCGAAACTGGTTATGTGTTACTCGTTTTTGGATTTCGGTTTGGTGGATAAACCGAAATTCAGAAATTCAAAGGTGTCGGTGACTAATGCAGAGGTCAAGAAGAATCTGTAACGACCCAGTTTTCTAAACCGGGTTTCCTTGTTTTTAATTAATTCTTGAACAAACTAATTTTATTCTTAAACCGGTTAAGTTTTTATTATAATTATATGTGAGGTTTTCTATACCTAATTATAGCATGATTATCGGTATATCTTATAACATATCTTAGCTTTAATCTGTACTAGATTTTGATCCGCGCTTGAAAAGCGTGGAAATTTTTTATGATTAAAAATTTATATAATTGGGTTTTGTCTTAATTTAAAGAATATTTTGATATAAAATCAGTTCACCAAAATTTGTGGTGATGATTGTTTTTCACTAGTTTTTGTTTCAGTTTTTATTTTTAGATTTTGGTTTTTGGTTTTTTGTTTTTAAGTTTCTACTTTTCATTTTCAGTTTTTGGTTTGGGTTTTTAATTTTTAAACCCGCTGAGTTAGTTTGAACTAATACTACCAACAAACAAATCTCAAATAATCGAACATCTAATTTAAAACTGAAAACATGATAACAATTTTTTTAAAAAAAATTTGAAATAGTTTATTTTGTAAATAAACAAAGCAAAAAAATATAACATGTGTTTTCAGCTTTTGGTTTTGGATTTTAGTTTTTAGATTTGGTTTTTGGTTTTGCTTTACATTTTTTTAATCAGTAAATTATTTAAGAAAAATAAAATAATAAATTATTTAAAAGTTACCAATGAAATTTATCAAAACAAAGTGATTGTTATTTAAAATAAAAAAAAAATATATTAATATGTTTTAAAGTACATGATTTAAATAAATGATTAATAATAGATAATTTTGTTTTGTTAAAAATATTATATATCTTTTGGGTCTGAAAATAATAATTGATTTTTTGATCTTTTAAGATGAAAAATTTATTCAATGTTTTTGGAGTTTTTTTCTTAATATGAAGCCCAAAAACCAAACTATATAATTTGTTCAAAAAACAAAAGTAAGCCCAAGACTATATTCCATAAATAACCACTGGTTTAATTTAAGTATAATTAGTAGATTTCCATATTCAATATTTTGATGATATATATTTTTTTAGAACATTCCATATTTGTAGGAGAAAATATGTGTTTTCGGTATACACAAAGATACCTGCCGTATTTTGAAGGTAGTTTACATTAATGTCGTCTCTTTACATTAGTTGTGTTGATTTAATTTAAGTAATACGGTTCAATCAATTATATGACTTATATAATTTGTAACATTCTAGAAATGGTCCAAATTTAAATGACAACTTGTATCAGTAGATAAAAAGAATGACTCTATTTTAATAGAGTAGATTTAATTTAAATGAAAATTACGCAATAACACAAAGGAAGCTCTTAGCTAAGGTATAAATTCTCGCGTCCTTAGGTGATATGTGGCGAGCTTGGAATGGCCGATGAAAAGCGGTGAGGGAAAACCGATTTCGTCTTACAGTTTGTGTATCCTCGTCTCTTTCGTTCACTCTCGCGGCGATTGAAAGGGTGATTTAATCTCACCGGCGCATCTCCTCTCTGACGGATCTCGTCTCAACGGATCTCCTCCCGACTCTAGATCTCGCTTAGACAAGCTCGACGGATCTCTCGACGGTTCTCTCGACGCTTCTCTCGATTTTATCTCACCGGCGCATCTCCTCTTTGACGGTTCTCGTCTCGCCGGATCTCCTCCAGAGGCATCTCCTCCCGATTCTGGATCTCGCTTAGACAGGCTCGACGGTTCTCTCGATTTTATCTTACCGGCGCATCTCCTCTCTGACGGTTCTCTTCTCGACGGATCTCCCCCAGAGGCATCTCCTCCGGCCTCTGGACGGTTCTCCTCTCTCATCAACATCGTATTCCACGATTCGAAGGTGAAAGGGTAGGTGTTCCTCTCCGTATGATTTGCATGTATTTAGTTCTCGTTTTAGATCTACTTCGTTGGGATTTGCATGTATTTGTTTTTCGTTTATGTTATTAATCTGATAGTAATTATTACTCGTCGATTGCTTTGCTTGCTTTGCTATATATCTATAAAGTGGATTTTCAAAATTAAGAGAATGTGGTTATTTAATGATACTAATATTTTCGTGTTCTGTTTTGATTTACTGATATGTGTGTTCTTTTGATTATGAGGTTAATAGGTGAGGTGAGGTTCGTCTACAATAGCCGGTTTCTATTAGTAAACAGCTCGAAGAGAAACAACCATTTCGTCCACTGCTCAAGGTAATTAACTTTCTCTTCAGCTCCCAAGTAATGTAGTTGGTATATTAACTCGTGTAGGCATGAGCTATTGTTTATGTGATGACATAATCTAATTTGATTGCAACCAAAACGTGTAGACTTGAGGTCTTGTTTCCGTAATGAAGTGTTCTTGTTTGTATACTGAATTCATAGGCTCATTTCTTTGCAAGGCTAGTGAAATTAATCTCTAGGTTGATTGCAACCAAAACATGTAGACTTGAACTGTTGTTGTAATGAAGTATTCCATGATCGTATTTTTTTAAGTGAAATGAATCTCTGGTTTGACTGCAACCAAAACGTGTAGACTTGAACTGTTGTTGTAATGAAGTATTCTGTGATCGTATTTTTTTAAGTGAAATGAATTTCTAGTTTGATTGCAACCAAAACTGTAGACTTGAAAACTGTTGTTGTAATGAAGTATTATGTGATCGTCTAGTTTGTTTGCAAGGCTAGTTTGTTTGGTAGTTAATGCACTTGGTAGTTAGTTCATTGTAGTTGTGTAATGTGTAATAACTGAGATGTACTTTTGTGGTTAGGTCATTATGATAGTCTTAATTATAGTTTAGATGTACTTTTGTAGTTTCATCAAACAATCTATATTTTTCATGCCGAACAAAAATTATCTAAAGGTGCAATGGTAATTTTAAATATCATGTACCTACAGTATTTGTTTAATTTATATTGTTATAGGTATTTTTCCTATATATAACTTCTTTATGAGAAGATCTGTGGCTTCCTGATGAGACAGAAAGACCTCCTATGATCTCCCACAACTCTGATCCAATTCTTAGAGTGTCTGGCCTTATCGAATCAGTGAAAAACGAATGAGATACCACCAAATTCAGGAACCTGCTATACCCTATCGATATCTCATTGGTTCCCAGTATGCTCCTCAACAGAATTTCCAAACCAGATGGGTATTGCTGAACCAAACTATATCTGAGAAATATTTGGTTAAGTCAGGCTATATGCTTGCAAGATCCAAACCAGATAGCACAATCGAATTTCGGAATCAACTTCCTGTGGAAAATCAAAATGGGAAAAAGTAGCCATTTTCTACGACAAATTTTATCGGAGGCACTACCAGTTAACGAAAGACTCTTTAATAGACACATCAGAAACGATCCGAACTGCCCAAAATGCGGCCATGCAGAGGAAACAACTAATCATATGATTTTTACATGCCCTTCAGCTATGCAATGTTGGGCCCTTTCAACGATTCCATCGGCTCCGGGAGGTTCCCTTCACAAAACCTCTATACCAATATAAACTATCTCCATGGAAAGGTTAATATTGGTGGAAACATGGAAGAGCTAATCAGAGTCTTTCATTGGTTAATTTGGTATATATGGAAAGTAAGGAATAAAAAAATTTACAATGGTCGCAACTTCTCACTAGTGGACACAACAGATCTAGCATTACGAGAATGTAATGCCTGGTTTCTAGCTAAACGAAGAAGACGACCCAGAAGATAGCTCCACAGAGCTTATACCAATGAATCCTCCAGATTTACCTATCTTTACATGTCGTGTGGATGGATCATGGAAGAATGATGAAACCACAAGTGGAGTAAGATGGATTTTACAGCTTCAAGATGGATCAATAGATTTACTGGGTCTCCATGGTTGCCACATGCAAATCTCGCCACTACATACTGAACTTAAGAGCTTAGTATGGGCATTGAAATGTTTATCTCACCATCAGCGGTTCTGTGATTATTTTATTACCAATTCTCAAGAATTAGTTTAAATGATTTCTACACCTGAAGACTCGCCAGCCTTTGCAGCTAAACTTACCGAGTTTAAATCCCTTTGGACGTCCTATCTAGACGGTAAAGTGGTTTATCAACCTAGATCCAATAACACTCAAACGGACTTCCTTGCAAGACAAACTCGAACTAGAAAACATGTTTTCTCATATGTCAACATGTTGGTGCCACTCTGGATGGACACCTACAACTCGTCATGTGTGGATTCGTACTAAGATTCGTCTTGTACTCTTTTATTGTGATAAAGAAATATACAACTTTTTATGGGTTTCTACCTAATTGACTCTTACCAAATATCAAATAGTAGAAATTATATAAATTTGTGTGATATATTCATCAAATTCATATATGATTATATGTTGTCATAAATTTATATGGGCGTATTGGTGAGAATGTCAATTTTGAAGAAAAAATTAAGAATGTAGCTTAAGATTTGACATTATTGGATCTCATAGCATTTTGTTTTTTCCTTCCATATCTCTCTTTTCTTTAAACTAGTAGCCGGTAATAACGTCCAAAAAGCATCTATCATTTAAATAAAAATATTATTAGAATAGTGGTAGTTATGACATCCACATTAATTATGATAATAGGATATAAATAGAATATACCATGCTACATGGTATAGTTTATGTTAATGAAATTATAAAATGATTTAAAGATATTATATTACTATACATATCAAAATTTAGTTAAATTGAACTCAATTGCAACTCAAATCTTGTAAAAACTTAACCCAAACCACTAATTATTTAATATTATCAAAATAGAATAGTAACAAACGAAATAGTATAGTACATATTGTTTAAATTTTTAAATATTTATGATTGCATGGAATGAGGTAATGCTTATGGCTTACCCCAACATCAATCCAAACCTACCACATAACTAAACCCAAAACACTATCACTAAACCCTAA